TGTAAAGTTACTTGGCAAGTATGCATATTGGATTGATCCTCGTTCTCTGATACAACTCAATACTTGTAAAGTTACTTGAAAAGTATGCAGATTGGATTTATCCTCGTTCTCTGATACAACTCAATACTTGTAAAGTTACTTGGAAAGTATTAGATTGGATTTATCCTCGTTCTCTGATACAAATCAATACTTGTAAAGTTACTTGGCAAGTATGCAGATTGGATTGATCCTTGCTACGGTCCTGCAGCCAGCATCTGAAAAGAAGATTGGATTGATCTTCGTTCTCTGATACAACTCAATTCTTGTAAAGTTACTTAGCGAGTATGCAGATTGGATTGATCCTCGTTCTCTGATACAACTCGATACTTGTAAAGTTACTTGGCAAGTATGAAGATTGGATTGATCCCTGCTGCAGCCAGCACCTGAAAACGAAGCAATGATTATGACGATGATGATGATGATAATAGCTGCGCTAATTGCGATGCCCCGCGGCTCTCCCAATAAATCATAATGGAGTGGTTGGTGGTGAATTTACTCGTCGCGGATCTTTATGGGCAGACGCCGAAGAACGCCGCAATTGAAAGGCCTTCCCCGAAGCGTCATTAACGAGGCGCATGAATCGCGAGAGATGCTGATGATTACAGCAGAATGACTCGCCGATTCGTATCATCCTCATCACCATCATCATTATAAGATCGTCTTCGTCTTCTTCGTACACACAATCTGCTTTCAGACTTTCATACAATGTAGCATCATTATGCAGGGCGTAATCATTTGTTGCCACCTTCCGACGTCCGTCGGAGACCAGCAGACACGGACCCCCATAGCGCATGTAACATTCTTCTACAAATCTGCACATCATCTTCGAACAGCACAATAAAGTTGAAAAAAAAACAAAGTTACATTGACGCAAGAACGGATCAAGTTTTATTATGAACATGTCAAATTTGTAAACGCGTTTTAATATTTCGCTTTAAATGTTAAAGCGTGATTAATCACAATATTATTAATTGCTGAATTAAGTTTAAAACAAATTGCTTAAGAAGATTTACATAAATGATGTCATCCTTTTGCGATCTAGAAGCCTTCTTTGAAAACAAATAGTTACGTCTTTTTTTTGTTTTCAAATAGTTTTCAAATTTTAAACGCGAATCGACGTTGCGCGCTCCATCTGGAATTTGTTTCGTGCGAACGTTTCAAGTGCGCTCCGTCAGATGTCGCGTTCACGTATTTCGAATGTTTAAAAACGTTCCCGTTTTCTTTTTCAAATTTGGTATTGCTCCTTAGATTATTGTTTTTTGTTGTTATTGAATCGACGCCGACGAAGATGACGTGCTTCAATAATGCATCGCGTTTGCACGAAAATTTCGTCTATTTACCTGTAATTACGGCTAACGAAGGTAATATATTTAATTTTGTAATTATTAACTTCTTTTTGTGCGTTAATTGCTGTTATTTTTAGTGTAAGATGATGATGGAAATTCTGATACGTTTCAAACGCGTTATGCTTTTGTTAATGTTGCTGGAGTTGCCTAAGTTAGTGGATCACAGCCTACTGCGTTTCTATTCTGCTGTGTTTATGGTAATGAGACGGATTTGGTAAAGTTTATTTAAAACGCGATGACGAATCGCATGAGAGCGGATCCGTGACCCAAATGCGGTCCAGAATTTTGGCCTCCAAGTCCCACACGCCCCAAAGAGGAGGATCGGCGAATCCAATCGAGTCGGAAGAGTTTGGAACGACGTCGAGCGGTGAGCGAATCCTGCGACGGCTGCGACCATGACGTCATTCCAATTTGGTTGATGACATTTCTCTGTTTTGTAACCATTGTAACGGACAACGGCGTCTACGATCCGCGCCAAGGTAACCTAAAAATAAGTCCGTTGGTTGGTTGGTTGGTTGATTGGTGGTTCTGCGCCTCCCTTGTTCTCTTCTCTCCTCCGACACCGCCGGGTGTATTAATAGGACGGAATTAGAAATAGAAGGCGAAGAAGAAGCGAAAAGTGAAAAGGAAAGTTTTACTCTAAATATAGGACGTCCTAGGGGAGGCGCGCACATTTCTCTGTGAAAATACCAAAGGTTGTTGCTGCCAGGAATAGGAGGAAGAAGCACACGAGAAACCATGGAGTTGAGGTCAGGAAGGTCCAGGTCCCGCACACCCTTCCTCACACCAACACTGGATGAGGCAGAAATACAATCGACAAGAATAACAAGAAGCTCAACGTACAAGTAAGTTCACATGCATCAGATTTATTCCTGCCACTCACACAAATACAAAATTTAATTTTAGATATGAAAGTTACTCGAAAGAGGATTCATCTCAGGGCAACAAGAAGCTCAGGACTCGAAATGCTTCAAGCAAGCACACCTCAGATTATTCATCTGGGGATGATGGGGAGTACACAGTCAGCTCCTCAATTGCTGAGAATTTGAGGAACCACTCGAGGGAGAATGAGGATGACCACCGCAGCGGCCGGTTGTCAGCCTTGAAAGTCTATAGGGATGCGAAGGAATATTGGAAGTAAGTTCATTTCAGGTTGTTTATGTTTTTGCAGCATCAGTTTCATCATCATCTGCAAACCGAAAATTCCAATAAGATTCCTTCCTCTTTTCATCGTCGCATAATCCGAACGACCGTTACGTATTTTTTGGCGGATAATCGCATTCGATTAATTATAACCTCAGGTGATAAGCGCGCAAAATTCCGCTGATAACCACGTTGCCTTCCTCCTAATTGTTGCGTAACGCAAACAGTTGGCAATTGTTGTAAACAGTTTTAATAACGTTTTCTTTTTTTCCAATTACGGTTTCCAAGGAGATCCGAAATTGAAAAATGTTCGTTTGTTTTGTTTACAGCATTATTTCCGCTGGAACGATGTCATAAGTACGCATACATAAATATTGTTGATAAGGCTTTTCTGCGTTCAAACAAATATTGACTTATTAATGATTATCACGAGATTTAGATTTAATTAGAATTTAATAATGTTGTTTGTTATGTGATTTTTCGTTGACATCTTTAGAAAATCAAACATTTCATTTTATTATAGTTACTTATCAAAGTGCATAAGATGCTTAACTTACATTTAAAGACATTTTGGTATTTCTGTGATTCAATCGCACCAAACTTTCCAAAAATATTTGACTAAGACTTCTTTGTTTCTCAAAACAAACATATGCGAATCGTTTTATTTGTTTTGCTTTTTGTTTCGTATTTCTTTACTCGATTGTATTTTTTTTTCTTCGCATATCCCAAAGACATTTTGATTTATTTTTGCGGTGCGAGGTGTTCTATTTCCGTGCATACGTCGCACGTGAACGCAGTTCGCGAGCGCGAATCTTAGATGTCCTGAAAAGTTTTGTGATTTTCCTGTTGTTGTTTTTTTTTGTGTGTGTCTGTGTCCCGTGTGCCGCACACGCAAAATTCTTCGCAAGTTCGCGACTAGAAAAGCCGATTCGGAAAAGAAGCAATTACGATAATAGATGTAAGTCTTTGATTCAAGGTCAAAGTTATTCTTTGATGCCATTTATTTTGGAGGCACACGTTCAATTTGATTTGTATGTATTTTTTATCAATGCAGTGTGGGTTGAGTAATTTGTTGATTGTGGTGGATTCGTAAATTGAGTTAAGTAGGCTTTGTGGCTTAAGTGGGCGGTGAGTTTGAAACAAAAGAGCTGTATGCAAACGAGATGGCGTTAACGGTTGGAAGCATCATTCTTCATCATCATCATCATTCATCGGCATCATCTTCATTGGAAACTGTAGCATCTGAATATTGCAATATTAATTTGTTGTTCTTGTTTTTAGTCGTTATCCTAAAACAGACTACACGTATTCTCGTAATTCAAGGGACCGAGTGGAGCTGTCGCCGGGCGTCGTGAACATGCCCAACATGTCGAGGAGGCCCATCCACGAGTCCACTCCCATCTCGATGGACTACACCAACAAGGAGACCAACACCAGTCCGTCTCTGCAGAGGCACAATCACCAGCAGCACCAGGACGTGCTGAACCGTCGAGCGCCGCGCATGAACCTCTTCAACAACAATAACGGCGGTCAGTACAGTCAGCAAAGGTACGAGAGGAAGAGCAGCAGCAGCAGCAGTCACCATCTCGTTCGACGGACCAACATCTTCGTGCGCATAGTCACAACCATCTTGAGCTACAGCTACTCGCTTCTTCGTCAGCCGGTGGAGAAGTCGCACTGGATGGTCCTGGGGTTGGCGCGCCAATGGCATCGCGTCACCAGCAAGATGATGTGCTTGGACGCCTGGCTGTTGCGCAGCAACAAGAAACAATCGAACAAATCAACGGTCGCGTTCTGGCTCTGCCTCATCCCATTGCTCTTCCTAGGCGGTAAGTCAACATCCTTTCACCTCCGATTGTTGTTGTTGTCGCCGCTGCGAAGACAAAGTTTAATTAATTAATTTACGCTTCGCAGCGCGGGACTTTATTTCTGTTCTCATCTGTTTGTTTGAGTGTGTGTGTGTGTGTGCGCGCGTTCGTCTCGTCTCGTTTTTTTTATTTCTCTCGTTCTTGTTTTTACACTCTTTTTGTTGTTCATATTTTTGCAGGACTGCATTTGCTGCTGACCAGCGGCATAAGCCTTGTCCCTCCCTGCCACCCTCACTGTGCCGCTGTTGCCGCCACTTACCTTAACACCCTGTTTTGAATCCGAAAAACGATCGCACCGTCGCGCTTTTGGACTCGAATCTAAAAGACAGCAGCATTTCACAATAACTCTTATTCGCTAAGCGATATTTGGGAAGTAACGCAATACTTGTACAAGTATCGCGTAGTTAGTAATATAGACTGCATCCGCATTTTTTTTTTGATTATTATCAATTTAGACTGTTTGGTTTGGTTGGGTCACATCCAAGTATAAAAGACGGCTTCGCGGAAGTGGGAAAAAAAGCAAACATTTACATTGCATTTAATTGCAACTTAATCTTTGTAAAGGCTTATTTCTTTTTTTGTTAGTTAGGTGGAAGTTAATTATTTGTATTTATAACCGACCGACTTGGAATTCATATAGCTTTATTAACCGTACTTATTATGACTTAAGTCGTTATCTTGTACTAATAATTACTTTATGCCGGAGGCACTCGTGGGTGTCGGGATTCGCAATACACAATAGCCATTGTATACTTCGTTTACGGTTGCAAAGTCGATAAGTCTTTTGTTGGGTTCTGTTAAGTTTACTTTTTAGTAATTTCATTTGATGCGACTTAAGTAACAATTCTTTGTTATGATGTAATGATTTGCTGTTATCGGTGCCTCTGACAAGTGCAATTTAAAAATTTATTAACTTTTTATACTATTTTTTTTTATATTTGACGCTTTGATGTTGTTTAATTTATTTATTAATTCGTATTAAGATGTTTGTTTGTTTTTTGTTGAAACGATTGATTTAATTGGGTAATAATAATAGTAGTAGTAGTAGTAGTAAATGAACGAACACAACAGGGTGGTAAGGAGAGGACTTTCGAGAAGACTTAAAGGCGTTTCTTGTTAATTTGATGATGATGTCGTCTTTTGTGAAGAGAAACGCGTCTTTAAGATTCTCTGCATTTGTAACAGTCAGGTGTGTGTGTTCGGTTGCAGGGTGGTTCTTAATTCCCGCGGTTAACCATGGCAACGCCACGACGATACAGACGCCGCCGGTGGTGTTGGTGAGGCCAGACGCACGACGACAGGATGTAGCCGCAGCAGGTGCTGCTGCGGTTGTTGCTGAGAAGAAGAAGAGGGAGGAAGAGGTGGTGGTGGTGGCATCAGCGGAGACGGCGACCGTAGGATCAGGAATCGTTGTCGGTGAGTTGCGATTGGCGCAGCTGGAGGACGGCTTGAGGGAGGAGCTGAGGGCGGAGAGCGGCAAGGCGAGGGCGGATGCCAAGACGGCGGAGGCGGAGCTGCGGAGAGAGATCGTTGCGCTGGCGGAGAGATCGGTGAGCGGGAAGGACGTCGATGCGATGATGGAGGGTCTGTCGAGGAGGATCGCCGATCTGCAGGGAGAAATCGGAAAGTTGAATCTGGATTTGGTGAGGTTCCGTGAAGAGACTGAAGTTAGAACGGTGCAATTGGCAGGGGAGTGCTGCAAGGAGCGATTCGCCGGGCTGGATGGGTACGTTAAGGGGTTGCTACGGCAACTGTTGCAAGATGGCGATGGGGATGTTTTCGCCACGTTCAAGGCGATCTTCGTTGCCAAGGACGATTTGGAAGGGCGCTTCCGGTCGATCAACGATAGTTTGCTGCACGTCGTCGAGGATAACTCGAAGAGGATCATGGCCGATGTTGCCGGACGACTTGCAGTGAACGCGGACGGTGGAGGAGGTGGCGTAGGAGAAGATTACGTAAAGAGATTGGTGAAGCAGGTGATGGACATATACGACGCAGACAAGACGGGTCTGGTGGACTTTGCGCTTGAATCTGCAGGCGGACAGATCGTGTCCATCAGATGCACGGATCAGTACACCTCGGGGATGGCCGTCTACTCGATCTTTGGCATTCCCATTTGGAAGCAGGTGCAGTCCCCTCGAGTGGTCATTACACCGGGCGTGCATCCGGGCAATTGCTGGTGCTTCCAGAACTTCCCCGGCTTCCTGGTGATCAAACTGTGGGCGAACGTCACGGTGGACGCCTTCTCCTACGAGCACGCCAGTCGTCGCACCATCGGCGAAAGCAAACTGACCTCAGCACCGAAAGGCTTCTCCGTCTTCGGCCTTCGGGACGAAACCGACCCCGAACCCGTCGCCCTCGGCGACTTCGCCTACGACAAGAACGGTGAACCCCTACAATACTTCCACGCCGAAAAGACGGAAACGGTCTTCAGCGCGGTCGAACTACGCATCAACTCGAACCACGGCAATCCATCTTACACCTGCCTCTATAGGTTCCGGGTCCACGGTCAGGTGCAGCAGCCCACCTGAGGTTTTGTCCACAAAAAAAAAACGGAAAATATCTAAAATGAAGAAAATTGTACCTGAAGTACCGCTAGTTATCTAATCATAGTTTATATATATATATCTCAAAAAGAAAAAAAAATTAAAAATGTGTTCCGAAACCGACAAAAAGGAAAAGGCTGACTTAAGTAGCGGAGCGTAACAAGTCTGTGAATTAATTATCTGTCGTCCTAAGTCATCAACAATGTACTTAAAAAAAAGAAGAAGCAATTGTCGTCCTTTGTTCGTGTATATTTTTTTTTGTTTTTGCATCGTCTAACCTAATTTATAATATATTTATTTGTCCATGCCTGAACTGAAATACGCGGTTAAAAAAAACAATAATTACGTAAATTACGAAACGTAAACTTAACAATGTACACACTCTTTTTTTTTTGACCTAGAAATTACGTTGCACGTCTTCTACTAAAACTGAAGAAACAATCAAATACAAAGAACGCAAACTTTTTACGCACTTGAACAAGCCCTAACTCCTGGGGCCTTCTCACTTATAACGAAACTAAATGAATATATTGTAAATTGTTTTGTCAGTGCGTCTCAAAGAAAATGAATGAAAACGTTCTCTCTTTGTTTCATTCTGTAATGTTAATAATCACTTTTAATTGCGAATACAGAGCACAAAAATATGACTAATCAAGTTATCCGAGTAAAAGTAATTATTAATTATGTTGAAGAAAAAGAGAACGTTGCCAATGATCTGCATGCGGTGGAGAAGGATGATGATGTTGTTGTCTTTATTATGCATTTTGTTTTTGTTTTGTACAAAACCACGCCTTCTTTGGAAATAAAGAAAACTATTTTTTTTTTTGGGTTAGTTCGTAAGTTTTGTTGGAGTTTTGTTAGTTGTCTTCAGTGCAGACAAAAAAAAATTGCCCAATTCTCGATCAAATCGTTTGTTTATATACTGAAGAAATCTACATTTATATACATATATATATATTTACCTAATTAGTGAAATAGATTTATTTTGTAATTTATATTTTGAAAAATGTATTATAACTTCTTTTTCTTTCTTTCTTTTTTTTTGCATTGAAGAAAAATCAATAAAAAAAAAATGAATTTCTTGATACATTTCTGTGTTTCTTTTTCCCCAATTAATGAAAAATTTTAATTAAAGTGTTTTTATATTACGTGTTATAATTATAATGTTTGAAATTTAACTAAATAAAAGAAAAAAAAAGTATTCCGATACCGGGAATCGAACCCGAGCCTCCTGGGTGAAAGCCAGGTATCCTAGCCACTAGACCATATCGGATGTGTATTAACATTAGTGGCAAAAGTGCTTAAGTATGTAAATTTTATTGGAATTAATGTAATTTGAGCAAATTAAGCTATTTTTGTTGAATGATAAGAGTTATTATTCGTGAAGTTGTAAAAGTTAATTTTGATATTGTTGGTGTGATTAGTTCAAATGAAGTGGTCTCAATTGTTTTGCGACTAACTTCATGTCGACCATCACTTTTTGACGTTTGTTGGATTCGTGGATGTGTTTTCGGGAAGCGGAGAAGAGAGAAAATAATCGAAGAAATGGTCCTGAAGGAGCAAGATCAGAATATTATGGAGCAGGAGACGGAGATAAAGGACGATATTGAACCCACGAAGCCGTTCACCCTAGAGAGTATCCTTTTTTTTTAATAAGATAGTGGAACATACAAATCCATAACCTAATAACTACACCACAACAGCTGCTTTCTTTTATTTCACGCAGCCTTCCAAGATATTCAAGTATCATTAATTAAACCCCATCTCCAATTCGTATTGGATTTACCTTCATCGAATCGACAGTAGTTTTAGGGATTATTAATACCATAATTTTAATTCGATTAGTTTCCTTGACTGGCATGTTTCAGTTCTGAAAGTGATCAAGGATAGCCATCAGCAGCACGGCTTGAGGCATGGAGATTACCAGCGGTACCGCGGCTACTGCTCGCGCCGTATCGCCAGGTTGAGGAAGGTGCTGAAGCTGCCGCAGGGTGATCGCAGGCACTTCAAGAGGAAGGATGTGACCGAGGTGCACGTGACGAATCCGAAAATTGACGACAAGTGTCTGCAGCTACCTCTGATGATGGCGGAGAGGAATTGGGCGTACGCTATGCAGTTGAGGCAGGAGAGCAATACAGAGCCGAGGAAAAAGTTCCACTTCATTCAGAAGCTGAGGAAGGCTTGCGTTTATTCTGAGCAGCTGGAGGAATTGTGCAAGGTATTGGGATTCTTATTGTTTTGTGTAAGAAGTGCAGTAGTAATGTTTATTTATTTTTCAGTTTGATAGGTGCGATGCTCGCACGAAACTGGAAGCTCAGGCGTACGTGGCTTGGATGCACGGTACTCTGCATTTTGAGTTGCAGTTGTGGCCGAAGGCCACCGAGAATCTGAAGAAGGCTCAGGTGATCTACGAGAAGCTGTCTTCGGCTCTGCCCGAGGATGAGCAGGCGTTGTACATGAAGCGCGTGGAGGAGATCAAGCCGAGCCTGCGTTACTGCGCCTACAACATCGGCGACCAGAAGATCGATCTGCTGGAGTTGAGGTCGCAGGGCATCCTGGAAAACTACGAGACTCTCGTGACTCAGACCAAGGAGAAGACGGCGGCGGTGCTGCACGAGGTGTCCTGGTTCGGGATCAAGGTGCCCATCCGCATGGATCGCGTCCGACTGTTCATGGTGTCCATCGAGAAGCTGGACGAATCTCTGGCGCACGCCGATACCGTTCAGGCGAAGATCAAGATCCTCGAGGATATGCTGATGGATCTGAGGGACGTGATCGCTGAGGTCAGGAAGGTCGTCACCGAGAACAAGGAGCAGCTGCTGCTCTCTTATCTGCTGTCCATCAGGATCGACAGGACGGTGCAGAGGAATCTGCTGCTGATCAAGCAGACGAAGAAGCCGCAGGACGTGTGTCGTCTGCTGGACATCATTTTGCAGCAGTTGAACGAGGTCATGCAGTTCGAGCAGCTGCAGGGTGACAAGAAGGCGGAGACGCAGTACAACGATCAGGTGTTGGCGTATCGCGCTCTGAGGGCGTTCTACATGGCCAAGACTCATGCGTTGTTCAGGAGATGGAAGGAGGCTGCCGTCACGTTCAACATTTGCGAGGAGCGCGCACGCGAGGTCAAGGGGAAGAAGTTCATCGCGATCCTGCAGGAGCTGCTCGACAATCTGGTAACGAATTCGCAGGTGGAGAAGGCCGTCGCGCATGCGAACGTCGTGCTGGAGAAGTGCGAGGAGGAGGCGGCGCCCGTTCCGCAGAAGGCGTACAAGAGCAAGAAACCGCTGATCGAGCGGCTGGACGAGTTCCGCGAGGATCCCCAACTGCTGACGAAGAACCCGAACGTGGTGACGATACCGTGTCCCATGGAGCCGGTCGCTCCGAAACCGCTCTTCTACGATCTCGCCCTCAATTACGTGCAGATGCCGGAGGAGCTGCAGGACAAGATCGACGGCGGCAAGAAGGACCAGAGCAAACAGCAGAGCGGCATCTCCGGCTTCGTCAAAGGCCTCTGGGGTTGGGGCAAATAAGACCATACACCTTCTCCAACCCTTATCCTTTTCTTCTATTATTTTTCCATTTCTACATATCTAGGTTCTCGGTCTATCAAATAGAAAGTATTTTTATTTTCTCTTATTATTTTTTATTATCTCCACAATTTGATCATCGAATGATTTTGTTTACGAATGAATGTTTTCATGGCAAGAGACGAAAATCTTACCAAAAATAAATATGGATTAGCTAAGAAATTCAATTTACTTAAAATATTATCATTTTTAAAAATCATATTCAAGTGCTGCCATCTACATTCAATTATGTACATACTAATTGATTAAATTCATTCATATCTTTTCAATCAAATTGAATTATAATTTCAATTAAATTACCTTTTCCTAAAGTCATAACAATAAGACTTATTAAATTGTCGAAGGCAGTAGTTAATGTTATCAAATTTGAATTGATAAATGTTCAAAAAAAAGTAGTTCAAATAAATTGCATCAACGTCATAATACAAATACGTAATATTTTTATTTCAATCATGTATCAATAATTAATATAAAACATATAGTTGAATTATTAAACGTAAACAATGAAATAATCAATTAAGTTTGGGACGTTGATTCCTGTTAGTTCAAATGATCTTGTAAATGCATACAATTTATAAACTAATAGATGAATCAATTAGTAAGTAAGTTTAGATAATAATGAATGTGTGAAAATACGCTGCAACTGCGGTAATTCCAAATAAATTATGAATAGTAATAAAAAAAGGACTACGATTATGTTGACAGTTAGTTCAAGTTGATCATCCAATCCGGTCCGAACTAATCGCTTTTAAACGGGTGACGCGATTAGGGTAATCAGAGGATGTTAGATTGGGGGTTGCGAGGGCGAAGGAAGCGGCGGCGGCTGCGACCAGTTGTTATCTAGATTCCATTTGTTTTTATTTTCATTGTTCCGTTTGAATTGGACCACGTACCCCCCGCCATCAACGATGTGTGTTCGTTTCGACCAATGGGAGAGGGCCGTCGGCGTCGACCAATCACAGCCGTATCGCCGCATAAAGTCGAGCTCATCAGCAGTATGGCTGTCAGTATAAATTTGAACCTTGTGTGATGGACTTCTCCTCTGTGTTCTCCGTTAATAAAAAGGGATCCCATGTGAATTTCGAACGCCACGGGAAACGGACGAGATGCTACACAATGAATAATAAAGTCCCGTAGACAGGATAACAACCGTGAGTAATTAATTTAAAAAAAAAACACAAACTTTTCTCGTTGCAACAACAACAAAAAAAATAACACACACACACATCTTACACATCCCCCTCCACATTATATCATTTTTTCCATCTCTCTCTCTCGCCGTTATAGCGTGTCCACTTTTGCATGCATTCTATACGTCAGAGAGAGAGAGAGATGCACGAGCGATCCCAAAATAAAAACAAATATGACCGCAAAATTGCGATACACATATTCTAGTTTCGGATGATGCGTTCCTATTTATTATTATTTTTTTTTTGTTTACTTTCATCGTGCCTCATTTGTTGACGAAAAATAAAAAAGAAAACAATTTGACAGCACGGCAAGCTCGGATCGATCGATCGCAGTTAAATGCCCTCTCTGGTATTTCGTATGCATCATATGGGCATCATAGAATATTGATTAACCATATGGTGATGATGTTGATGCAGCGGCGCCAATCCGAAACGAATCTCACATTTCTCCCTCTCTCTCATTCCTCGCCCAACAAACTTTCTGTTGCGTTATTAAATTATACATTATTATTATAATGCAGCATCCAATTCCAGTTGCTGTTCGGCACAATCAAATTATTTTGAGCAACTCGATGAATGTTAGAAACTGCTTCATTTGACTGAACGATGCTTCTCCTTCTGTTACAGATTCTAAAAAACTAATAATAATATTAAATTATAACATTGCCCTCCACACACTGCGCAATCATTCATTTTGGCCGATGTAGGAAGCTGATGATCCCAAGATGACCTCAAGCAGGTAATTGATTTCAATTGAATGATCGCTCTCTCGAATGCATTCAGTGGATGCATCAATCTCGTTGCTGTTGTTGTACCACCAGTTACATCATTCAATGATTTGGTGAACCTTGTAAAAGCAAACAAAATGCATTTGCAATTATATTTGTTGAATATTTCACAGCAAAGGAGCGAGAGAAATGTGTTTGCATTTTGAACTGAAAACAATTCTAGTTTTCTTTCCATGAACAGAAAAATAACAGCAAATACTTTGATTATATCGCTCACAAACATGTTTAATCGTCTGCAAATTGTTGTTGAACATCGGAAGATTTGAAAGGTGACGTTCGCAAAGTGGACTACATTTTGGGAAATTCCAATTTATGTTTTCCACCAATTCTTTCAAGTTTTGTAATTTTACTAACATATTTATATATGTTTCAACAAATTTCAGATTATTACCGATTCACGTTATCAAAATTCGTATTTGCAATCTTAATCCAGTTTTCCACAAAATTCATTTTCTTTGTAATTGAAAATGAATAGAAAATAATTAAAATTGGCAATTGGAATGATAACATTGTTGCAGATGATTGTTTATTATTGTGAGTTTATTTGAGGGAAATCCGTCAATTTAGTTTTTCCATCGTTAATTGTTGCATGTGGATTAATCAATGAATTTGGCGTGCATCAGATTTATCAGTTTGCAATTGCTTATGAAAACTTTAGATTTAGTCATAATCTTGACTCGATTTACGACGTATATTTTTATTATTTTATATGCGTATGCGTCATGTTTAGTTAACAGTATAAATAAGATAAACTCGGCAGATAGGAAAAACTAAATGTCGGATGTCCAGAATTGTGTATTCTCGGATAAGGAGTATTAATAATAATAATTTATAATATTTGCATTCACTTTTCGAATGGTGAGAGAGCAATAATAAAAACAGGACGAAACTGCTTAGAAAGTGATCGCAAAATTCAATTAGTATTGTAAACGCTCCTAACAGATTCTTGGACTGTTTGAATTTGCTTTCTAAAAAAAAACAAACAACCGTAGCTTCTTTGTGCGCTTGATTATTTACGTTTTGTGCGGTTTCAGATTGGACAGGTTGTTCGTGCTGCTGGAGACGGGCAGCACCGCGGTGACGAGATCCGCGGCCGCCAAGCAACTGGGAGAGGTGCAGAGGTTGCATCCGCACGAGCTTGTTACGCTCTTGACGAGAACGACCGCATATCTGAAATCGAGCAATTGGGAGACGAGGGTCGCAGCAGCGGAGGCCGTCAGAGCAATAGTTGCGAATGTGCCGCAATGGAATCCCTTGCCGATGGAAGCAACAACTTCCGGTTAGTATCCGATCCGAAGATTCGCATTTTACATTATTAGTTTACTATTATAAACAATTCGTTGATGCACAATCGCATTCACGATTACCATTATCGAGGCAAAAATTACAGCAATTCCAACAAGAAAGAGAATTACTGGAATGGTTGTCACGACAATAGCAACACATTGTTGACGTAATCATTCCATTGAATTTCATACGGTTGGTTACCTAGGTAACAATAATCTATTTGTGTGTGTGTGTGTTGGGCGTTTATTCAATTTCGCAATTAACGTTTAATTTGATTTATGTTCGTTTTTAGAAGAGGAAACCTCGACGATGCCGTTATCGTGCGTCGGCAGACTGAAGTTCGATCAGTTCGATATGGCCAAAGTGTTGTCCAACAGTTCGCACTTGATGGCTTCCGAGGGCAAGGAATACGACGTAGAGCAGTCTTCTTTAGGTGAGTCTCGATCATCATCTATGTTTGTTCGTTAACACTGTTTGATGTTGTCTTGTTCGTTTGCAGCGATCGATATGAAAGAGAAAATGGCGAAACAGCGGAAGCTGCTGAACATGCGTCTTGGCCTAGACGTTGTTTCCAAGATCGGTCTGGATGTGTCCGGTATCTTCACCAACGAGGATTTGGCTGGAGACATGAAGGTGGAGGAAGATGCGCCGTCGCCACCGCCGCCAGACAATCGAGTGAGTTTCAAATTGTTAAGTTCAAATTAAACATGTTATTTTGTTTTTTCTTCTTCTAATTTTCAGAAACCACTTCGTGATTTAATATCGTCGGCAAGCGAAGTTGGCTTGAGTTCACGCGAGAAGAACAGAGCTAAAAGAATGGCTAGGCAGGCGACGAGCAAGCAGAGGTCAAAAGATCCGGCCGAGGATGGATCCGATGAGCCGGAGAAGAAAAAAATAAGAATCGAGGATAACAAGGATGAGAACTTGCAAAATATAGGTTTGTAGAGTTGCGCTGTTATTAGTGGCTGTTTATTCAATTGTGTGTGTGTCCGCAGAGGAACTGAACGAGAGCGGTGATTGGCCGTTGGAATGGTTCTGTGACCAGCTGTGCCAGGATTTGTTTTGCGCGAGTTGGGAGTCGAGACACGGTTCGGCGACGGCTCTGAGGGAGGTGATTTCGGTGCACGGCAGAGGCGCCGGGAAGTCGCTCTACCAGACAAGAAGTCAGATGATCGAGCAGCACCAGATCTGGTTGGAGGATATGGCTATAAGGTTGCTCTGCGTTTTAGCTCTCGATCGTTTTGGAGATTTCGTATCGGATGCGGTCGTGGCGCCGGTACGGGAAACGTGCGCGCAGACGCTGTGCGCCGTTCTTAAGCTCATGGATGCTAATGGCTGTAGAGGAGCTTTGGCCGTCATCCTCAAGCTGCTGACGCTGGAAGACTGGGAAGGACGACACGGCGGTTTGTTGGGTTTAAAGTATTTGCTAGCCGTGCGCGAAGACATGATTGAGCTGCTACTGAAGGATGCCCTGGATTCCATACTGAAAGGGCTGTCCGATCCCGTCGATGACGTGGGTGCTGTGGCCGCCGCAGCCTTGATACCAGTCGCAGGAAAATTGTTGGTACTCGTTCCAGATTCCATAGCTATCATCGTGCAGAAGCTGTGGGATCTGCTTTCCGAACAGGACGAGTTGGCTGCCGCCTGCAACAGTTTTATGGGTCTTCTGGCGGCCATCCTCAGCTTACCCGAAGTGGAGAAATACCTTCCACCTCAGCCACTCAGCGATGTCGTCCCGAGGTTATGGCCGTTCCTCAGTCACGGCACTTCATCCGTGAGGAAGGCGACTCTTCAAACGTTGGGCACACTGACGAAGAGTAACTCCATGCAATGGGAAGCACAGCTTCTTCAGGACGCGCTGCGTCACGTCTTCCAGAGGGTGCTCGTAGAATCACTGGCAGATGTCAGAAATGTGGCGGAGAAGGTGTGGAGACAGCTGCTGGAAAATTCCGGTCTGGTGGAGCTTCTGCACGCCTCCTGTCCGTTCATCAGCATTTGGTTGTGTCTCAGCATGCAGTCCGTGCGAATTCCTTTCGACTGCAACCTGATGATCCAGGCGAAGACAAGCCGCGAGCGCAAATACAAACTCGAAGGAGTGCAGAACTTTGAAAACAATATAGTGATTCCGAAATGGTATATTGGCGGCACCGAAACCGTCCCGGTTGCCACCAGAGAGGCGAACGCAGTCGAGGTACGTTGCATGGCCTCGCGAATGCTCGGTCTTCTCTCCTGCTACATAGTGCAACCAGCGCCCGGTGTCAGTTACGAGAATACGGAAAAACCCATCGAATGCTACGAGAAGATCCTGCTCGCCCATCTGGGCACAAAATCCGCATTGCAACGGATGGTCGTCGGCTTGGTGATGTCTGAATGGGCGCAGCTTGAAACCACGATCTCTGAGTGCCCCGAAAATATAAGCAACATCCTGAACACCTGCCTCGGCGATTTCGTATATTACGACGAAATCGCGCACAGCTTTACGCGTCTCGCACAAGAGACGAAGGATTTCATTGCCACTCTGAAGCACTACAAAGTTCCTATAATCATCGAAAACGATAGTGTCCTCACGCTGGTGCACATCGAGGAGCTAACTGGCAAAAAAACCAAGGAGATTCTCGTCAAGTATAAGCTGAAGCCCAAAGTGTTGGAGAGCTTGGAGGAGCGGCGCAAGAGTATCCATAATTCTGTGGAGCAGACCACCAAAGATCAGACGACGTTCAGCGTCAGCACATTAGGTATATAGATGAAATGTGAATATAGTAGATTATATATTAACTTTTCTTATTTCATATGTTGCAGCTTCCATTTCCGGAGCATTGGTTTCGTTCAAATCATTGCCCGAAAAATTGACGCCGGTTGTGAAGCCACTAATGGAGTCGGTGCGCAGGGAGACCAACGAGCTGCTGCAGCAGATCACCGCCAGACATTTGGCCCGTCTTTTGGATCAGTGCCGTCTGCGCACCCCTAACCCCAACGACAAGATCGTCCAAAATTTGTGTACCTTTCTCAAGTGTGATCCGGAGTTTACGCCTTTTATAAAAGATGAACCCGTCGGTGAAAATTCCAAAAGCACCAGCTCGAACAATAATCACCTACCACTATGGGTAAATATTTACTATTATTATTCGGCAGAGAGTATCAATTAAATTGTATATTATTATTGAAATATTTCAGAATCGTACCGCTGGTAATTACTGTGGTATCGTGACGTTGAGCAATCAGCAGAAACATGCGGAACGAGTAGCGTACAAGCGATCGAATTCGACGGGTCGCGGACCCGGAAGGCCCCCGGCTACAGATATGCCTCTGGAAGAGCTTTTTAAAGATGATGACGAAGGCCAGAAGGCGAATCGGATTCAGAGACGTGGTGCGACTTTGGCGCTTACCGAAATAACGCGGTACTTTGGCGCCGAGTTGCCGGAAAAGGTGCCCAAACTGTGGGACTTTATGGTTAAGCAGTTGGAGGAGATCGTAGACGTCGAGAAGTACGAACCTAAAGAGATGTTGAACAAGAACGAGGACGCGGCGAAACTGGTGTGGGTGCTGCAAGTGCTGGAGGTGACCAGTCACAGCGTGCACGAGGAGCTGAGGCCCAAGTTAATGGAGATGTGCTTGGGTAGGTTGTGCGTGCTTCTGACACATCCGTATAGTGCTGTCAGGCACTTGTCCTCGAGGTGTATCGCGGTGCTTGCGAAACTAGATTCGGTGACGGTAATGGAGAGCATCGTCGATAAGGTCCTTCCGTTGTTGGACGCCACGGATTGCGAGGTTAAAAGGCAGGGCGCGGTGGAGGCGATCGCATGCATGGTGGACACTCTCAAGTTAGATATAATCCCGTATGTTGTTTTGCTCGTTGTGCCGTTGCTGGGTCGAATGTCCGATCAGAATCAGAGCGTTCGGTTAATGGGTACGCATAGCTTTGCCACGCTGGTGCAGCTTATGCCTTTGGATGGTGGTGTCCCGGAGCCGCCGATGCTGGAGAACAGTTCGCTGAACAAGCAGAGGAAGAAGGAGCGAGAGTTTCTGCAGCAGCTGCTCTCGCCCACATGTATTCCCGATTTTAAGGTGCCCATCCCGATTGACGCCGAGCTGCGATCCTACCAGCAGGCGGGCGTCAATTGGCTGGCCTTCCTCAACAAGTACAAACTTCACGGTATCCTCTGCGACGACATGGGTTTAGGTAAAACCCTGCAAAGCATCTGCATCCTTGCAGGCGATCATTACGCTCGCGACCTCAAGTACAAGCAGTTAAAGTGCCCGGACAGTGCACCACTGCCCTCGCTCGTGATATGCCCACCAACTCTAACCGGCCACTGGGTCTACGAGGTCGAGAAGTTCCTCTCCAAGAAACACCTTCGACCTATGCAGTACAACGGCACGCCTGTCGAACGCGAAAAGCTGCGGCAGCGGTTCAAGAAGTTTCATCTGATCGTCGCCTCATACGATATCGTCCGCAAGGACATCTCATTTTTCTCCACGATCAAGTGGAACTACATCATCCTGGACGAAGGGCACATCATCAAGAACGGCAAGACGAGAACGAGCATAGCCATCAAGAATCTGACGGCGAACCATCGGCTCATCCTCAGCGGTACGCCCATCCAGAACAACGTTCTCGAACTGTGGAGTCTGTTCGATTTCCTCATGCCCGGCTTTCTGGGCACCGAGAAGCAGTTCACCGCGCGCTATTCACGACCCATCCTGGCCAGCAGAGACCCCAAGTGCTCGCCCAAAGAGCAGGAAGCCGGAGCACTCGCCATGGAAACGCTCCATCGACAAGTGCTGCCCTTCCTTTTGCGCAGGATGAAAGAGGACGTTCTGGACGACCTTCCACCAAAGATCACGCAGGACTACTACTGCGAACTGAGTCCGCTCCAGGAGCAACTGTACGACGACTTCTCCAGAAGTCAAGCGCACCAAACCCTACAGGTATATATATACATATTGTATACAATTTACATAATGATTATAATCTCAAATTTCAGGAATCCTTGTCATCGGGAGCGACGGCAAGTTCCATGCAGGGCAACACTCACATATTCCAGGCACTCAGGTACCTGCAGAACGTGTGCAACCATCCAAAGCTGGTGCTGAATCAGTCTCATCCGCAGTTCGCGCAGATCTCAGCTCAACTTCAGAAACAGGATTCCAAGTTGGAGGATCTCAGCCACTCGGCCAAGTTGCCAGCATTGAAGTGAGTATTGCTGCAAATATGTTAACACATACGCAACATTTCGACCTTCCTCTTTTTCTTATGTTATCCAGGCAATTGCTGTGGGACTGCGGCATCGGAGCACCGGAGAACCAATCTTCCGATTTGGTCATCAATCAGCATCGAGCGTTGGTCTTCTGTCAGCTGAAGGCGATGCTGGACATAATCGAGAAGGATCTCTTCAAATCGCACATGCCTACAGTCACGTACCTTCGACTGGACGGATCCGTTCCGGCCGGCCAACGACACTCCGTGGTCACCAGGTAAACAAAAACAAAACAAAAAACAAACAATTTCATTACTTGATACTTGCTAAGTAACAATTTCCATGACAATGATAACGATATAATGTTTTGTTTTGTCAAAATTTTAATTGTAAATTCTTCTGTTTCATCGAATGTGATCTTTTCTATTTTGTTTTCGCATCGTTAACTCGCGTATTGGATTATTCTCCGAACCGTTTGTTTGTTTGTTATTTGCGTCGTGTTTTGTCCGCGCGCTCCGACATAACATCGTATGACCCAGTTATCTTTACCTACGCCAGTTTTGTTAACGCTTTTACATATTTTCGTCGAGGAGAGAAGAAAATCGATGTCGACCCATTTATTATCAGTTCAGTAATTTCAATTTAACAATTTTCTCCTCCGTAACTTTTGCAAATTAATACATTTCATTTAATTTGCACTGGAACAAGTTAAAAATTACAAGAGCAATTTTTTAATATTGAATTTCTAATACTAATCTGTGTGTGTTAAGAATGCGTGCAGTTTTTCTGATTGAATTGTTGTTGTTTCAGATTTAACAATGATCCGTCCATCGATGTTCTCCTGCTGACGACGCAGGTAGGAGGTTTGGGCTTGAATTTGACTGGAGCAGACACTGTGATATTCGTGGAACACGACTGGAATCCCATGAAAGACCTGCAGGCGATGGACCGCGCCCATCGAATCGGACAGAGGAAAGTCGTCAACGTGTACAGGTTGATCACCAGGAGTACGCTCGAGGAGAAGATCATGGGTCTGCAAAAGTTCAAGGTGCAGACTGCAAACACTGTGATCAGCGGTGAGAACAGCAGGATGGAAACGATGGGCACTGAGCAGCTGCTCGACCTGTTCTCGCACAAACCAACTCCCGGAGGAGGATCTCAGGAGGCTGGATCGAGCTCCGGCAAACCCGGTGTTAAATCCATCTTGGAAGCGCTGCCCGAATTGTGGGACGACAAGCAGTACGAAGACGAGTACGATCTGTCCCAATTCATTTCCAAACTGAGAGACTGATGTTGTCCCGTGAGTTGTCCTCGACCCATTTCACAACACACACACACATACTTATGCTCACTCGACCCTCACCTATATTTCCCTCGTTCTCTTTCGCTCCCTCTGCGTCCTACTACCCTACTTGCTGCGACATCCAGGACCCGTTTTCACACCGAAACTGGGTCTAGGATAGCAGTAAAATTCGCGCCGTTTCGACCCAGTTTCCCGGGGAAACTGGAGCGGCGCCGAACCTTGACCCTCAAATCTCGCGACCATCATCGATTGACCCAATTCGAAGCGAAACTACCTAGTCTCAACCCTGACCCGCGAGGATTTACCGTAGGACGACCGACCGCCACGAATGAGATGGAAGGAAGGACTTAGATGGACACACAAAAGTGTTTAAAAGTTCTCCTCGTTTCGTTTTATTTTAGTTTAATCAATTAGTGCTTATATTTATTTGCAATATGTACGTCCCCTCTCACACGTGCTCTACATTTTCGTATTTATATATTCCATCCTTTTGATTACTATAATCTCTCGTGTACATACAAACACTGGCACACATTTATTGTGCAAAATATGTATTTAACATGTGTAACATTCGATTTACGGTTTAATTTCTAATTTTATTTTATGTTAGTCCTTTAAGGCGTTCAGATTTAGCGCGTTAGTTTTGATTAGGTTGTTTCTCCCTTCCTCTTCTATCAAACCCAATTATTTTGGGTACAATTCGAGTACTGCCTTCTAAAAAGAAAATTTGAGTACACTCACAATGCTACATCAATAAAACGTTTCTATCCAATTGGTGGATACATATGTAGTTGAATAAAGATGTATTATTATCTCTGATCGAAATATGATTTTCTACCCATCGCCTAGTAATTTTTCCCATCTCCAATTAGATATTAAGACAAGTTATCACGATTAAATAATTGTCTATATGTCAAATTTGACGTATGTACAGTTTATTGGTTAGATAATTTAAGTATATTAACGTTTGAAGGTCAACTAATTGATACAAACTATTTAAATTTCCACATTTATATAGTCTAAATGTCGGAATTTCAAGGTTTATTTGTATTCGAGGATTATTCATTGATTATGACATTAATGACATGTCAGAAGTATTAGGTTGTCAAATTTGACGTTTCGATATTATTGGACGTACAGTTTATTGGTCAGATAATTTAAATATATTAACGTTTGAAGGTCAACTAATTGATACAAACTATTTCAATTTCCACATTTATATAGTCTAAATGTCGGTATTTCAAGGTTTATTTGCATTCGAGGATTATTCATTGATTATGACATTAATGACAAGTCAGAAGTATTAGGTTGTCAAATTTGACGTTTCGATCATTATTGGACGTACAGTTTATTGGTTAGATAATTTAAATATATTAACGTTTGAAGGTCAACTAATTGATACAAATTATTTTAATTTCCACATTTATATAGTCGGAATTTCAAGGTATATTTCCATTCGAGGATTATTAATTGATTATGACATAAATGAGAAGTCAGAAGTATTAGGTTGTCAAATTTGACGTTTAGGAAATGTCGTAGGTTCAGAGCAAAGCTTCTATTTGAAAAAAAGCTCTGTTTAATATTTACTTTAGAAAAATGAGAAATCTGTACTTACTTAATATACTAATACTTACTAAGAAGGGTTTCTGTAAAATGCGGATAAAGTGAGATGGAAACAAAAACGTAAATCGTATATAGATATGTTTATTTATTTCACACATTTTTCACTACAGACATTTTACATTCAGTCTACACACAGACACGACAAATATATAGTCTACTTCAAAGTTTGCAAATGTATCTAAAAACATTTTTAATCGTTTAAAGCAAATGCGTTGAAGACGCGCCCGGCGCATCCACCCGCATTCCTCGCCCATCTATCAATGTACAATTTCCAACTTTACATAGATTATATATATATACACACAAATACTTATAATATTTAGTACACTTATTATACTAGTGCTACGGATTGATATCATTTATCAGCTTCATCCCATTTTATCAATGGGATACTTAAAACCATTCCCGACGAACCGTCCGAAATGGTACCCAAATCATACTCAAACCTTACACAAAAATTCTAAGCTATCTTTTGTTTTTTTTCTTTTCTTGTGATACATCTTTTGTCTCAGCGCGAAGCGTATCGACTCTTAAATTGTAAATTGATACAGTCTTAAGCTATATACAAGTGCATTTGAAGATTTTAAAGTGACTTAAAACAACAAATGAAAGTGTGCTAATCACTAAATCTAGGGATAGTGTCGAAGTAGATAGAGTGATTTAAACTTACAGTTTTTTTCGCTTATTGTAGTAATGTAACAGCTCTGGTAGTTTAGTGAACAAATGAAACTTCAACTACGTCTACTACATACTATATTTCGAACTGTTTCTTTTTAAATATTATTATTATTTACGTTAATGAATTTTTTTTTGGAATCGTTTCAAAGTATTTTGTTTACTTTTAGTTTGATTTTCTTTTTGTTTCTACTCAGTTAATCACATTTGTTTGTTGATAAGCTTTTGCCTTACTTAGTTTTTGTATATAGATATTCTACTTCTACTTCTCCATCTAATTACACTTAATATTAGCAACATTTATTAGTAATTAATACACACACACTTAATCTGAGATCTTTCTTTTTTCTTTTTCGAAAATATATTTAGACTTATTATGTATATATTTAGTAATTAGCGATCAACGTTTTCCTCTCGCCATCAACGCAAATAACATCTTAACTTACAGTTTTTAAAGTAGTGCGGATGGTATTTCCTCTTGTTTTTTTTTCTTGGTAGGCTTTGGCAGCGTTTTGCGAGTCAGCAGGTTGTGCTTTTTCTTCATTTTTTTTTTGTCTCTGTTCGACTTCAATCAAATATTTGATTAATCGATAGCTTAATTTTTTCAAATTAATTTCTATGTTATTATTATTTTTTTGGTTTTCCTTTTATTACATATAAAAAGTTTAAACTATTAGTTTTACGCCCAAAGATGGCGTCTTATTATTTAATTATATTAAGACAGCTTTGACAATGCACGTAATGCATTTGTTTTGTTGATGATCATATGGGAAACGGTGATTGTTTTTTTTTTGCAATTCCACCATAGATTCTGATGCACGTTTATCTTCTTTTCGTATTCGATTACTTTTTTTGTTGATGACCAACGATTTTACAACTTCGACAATTCTTTGCTAAATATTCAGAGTTAACTTCGAATCGAATTCGAAATATCTGCGAGATAATTTAGAATTTTTATCAAAGGACGCGCGGGATCTTGCAATTCCACCGCGATTTTGACAAATGACGTTTCTATGGTTACAAATTTTGTTTTTTTTTTCGGTAGACAAGCGATTTCTGTCGCTTCGAACTTAATTAAGTTTTGTTTACGTGTGTTTGTGTTGTTTTTGGACGGATTTCAATGCTGATTAGAGCACGAAATTCATTCTTTTAATTGTTAATGAGGTAGAGATGGAGAATGGGTGAGTTTTAAATTAAAATTTGCGTAAATGACGAGAGAAAGTGTGAGTGGATAACGTTGAAATCGCTCGTGAAACCCTGTGTTTTGAAAGGGCGCGTCCATCGCGTTTTCATTTGACAGGCGCGCTCTCGATTACTTTTGCTACCTTAATTATTAATCAACATCGATTATATCGTTTTTGTGTGTGTGTTTTTTATTATGTATAGATAGAGATATATTTATATGTAAATAGATTCACATTAGCTGGATTCTGACCTGCAAATTCAGGCTGAGAAACTTACTTATTACATAGCTTTTTTTTATTTTCTAAGATCTTAGAGAGTAATACTTAATTTTGATTTCTACCACGTTGGGTTCCTAGGTTCTTCTCCGTCTCTCGTTTTGTGGCGGAGCGTCGTCGATTCATAAAGGTTTTTTCGAAAATTAAGTTTCAGAAATGCAGTTTTTGGATTCACGATTCTTCTTCTTCGTCTTCCCGGTGTAGCGGTCGGAGTCGACGGGGCCGTGGACGCCCTTGTCGTGGCACACGACGTGCACCAACTTGAGGTTCTTGAGCGTGAAGAGGTCGTCGAAGATGCGGTCCAAGTGCAGGGAGGCGACGGTCGGATCGACGCGCACCGCCTCCCTGATCGCGGGTATCACGGAGCGCGACCTCTCGACGCCGTGGTCCAGGTTCCACGTCTGGAAGACGATGCGGTCCTCGCGACTTCTGTACGGGTTGATCCGATGGTCGCGGTAAAGGCACGCCTCCTTGTCCCATCTGCCCTGGCACTCGAAGGTGCCGCCGCGATCGCAGATGGCGCCACCAACACCACCACCACCACCACCGACGACGACGACATCTCCTGCTGATGCTTTTCGTCGGTCGAAGTAGCAGCCGAAGAAGTCGACCTCCTTGAGCGAACGCTGCAGGTGGCCGAGGAGTCGAAGCAGCGTATCGCGCGACATGCCGCCTTCCGACGGCTCCGACCGCAGCAGCTCGTCTTTGCTTTTGTAGTAGTACGTCCTTATGCGGTCCTGGGCTCGCCTAAACATATATTCCTCTTTGGTTTTTGACCGGCTGTCTACACCTGTTTCGTTGCGAAAAGTGCTCTCGATGTGCTCTCAAGATTATCATACATTTTTTTCATCTATCTAATCTAATCCGATGCGAACTCACCTAATCAATCCCACCAACAACATGTAAAGTTTTATAACAATATTGAATCTTTAAGAACTTTTTGAAAAGATGATTGAGGTGAGTTCGCAGCGGCTGCGAGTGGGGTGGGTTTTTTTTTTTGTTAGTACGACAAAAAGTGTTGTTGTCTTTCTAATTATTTACTTTTTTTTCTTTTGTAGCTCACCTTCGAACCATTGCGGATCCTCCTTCTTGAAGCTCAGGTGAGCGCGATCCTCGTCCTCGATGCTCTTCAGCACCTCCGCCAGCTTGTAGACCTTGTTCTTCATCTGCTCGGTGAAGAACTCCTGGACCATCTCGCCGGTCTTCAGGAAGTCGATGTTGACCTCGCGGATCGTCCTGTACAGGATCTCCGCGTCCGTTTCGGCCCGTTCACCCTTTCTCGTCCAAATCAACAGCGTCTGCGGCTCCAGCTCCGCGAATTCCGGTTCCGTCTGCAGCGGAACGCCGTCTCGCGTCTGGAAGACGATCTGCTCCTCGGACGACAGCTTGAATTTCTCTGCGGTCTTCGTCCTGAGATCGGCGAGCGTTCCGACGGCGATGCCGACGCGCGTCTTGCGCTCAGCGTCCGTCACCTTCAGTCCCTTCCTGGGCGTCATCCTCTACTCGATGGTGTCGGCGGTGGTGGTTTCTGGCTCTCCTCCACCGGGTCTCTCATCCGGCGCTCTCGGAGCTCGAATGTGCCGGTTTTACTTGGCCGCGCCAGAAGGAGGAGTAGGAAACGCCAGACACGAATTGGGTCAATGTCAGAGGGAGTAGGAAAAGGAGGCGGTCTTCTCTCTTCAGCTGTTTCTCTTTCACTTGGCCCACTTCTCTTTTCCACCTGTGTGCCTGCGTATGTGTGGAAGGCAGTCTCTCAAAGCGCATGTCGTTCACAACAACATGCAACAATTCCTATCATCTCCTCCACTACATACGCAATACACTAATTCTCTCTATCAAAATCGAATTATCTTCACTTGAATTTAATTCACTTTCTTTAAATCATCATCCCTTTGGTAACGCGTTTCTCTTTTTTTCATATTCATCAGCGCCTTTACAACGTTTGCGATGTTACGAGCGCGAGCAGCAGGATGTGGCCATGTTTGTCGTGCACAACGCGAAATACATTTCTGGTTTTTTCCCTGGACTTGACCTTGACCTTGCGACCGCCGCCGCCGCCACCATCACCGACGCAGCTCCATTCCCACCGTCAGATGGCGCTTCCGGAAGTAGGCAGCAGCGACCGCCCCCGCGCGCTCCCCATTACACAATAAAACATCAATAAATCCGAAGGTCCTTCGATATTTGCATTTCTAACGAACCGACCTTCGTTTCCTCCTGCAATCCCACAAATTGAAATCGCAACTAAAATGATCTGTTAATTGAATTATTTAATAGAAAACTCAAAAAAATTGCTTCCTCTATTAGTTTTCATTTATAAGTCAAGTAGTCAAGTTCGATGTTCATTTATTATTTTGTTTTCTTTTTTTTTAAATATTGATGGCTACATACATTTTTTTTTAAATTTGGAAATTTATTTATTTTTTTCTATTACATTTCGATTTAGTAAATTTAAAGAATTAAAAAAGTTTTATTAATTTATCGATTTGAAAAAAAAAATTGAACCAAATCTAACCTTTGACATATCAATGCGAATCGTTTGTCGGAGGTAGGCAACCTAATGTGCACGGTTTATAAGAATATATATTTTACATTGTTAAACATTGTAATGTTTATCATAAAAGTCTTTTAGTATTATTAATTATAGTCTATTAATTAACGGAATTCGCTATTAATTTAATTGATTTAGAATTCATATTGTTAGGGATTTTTCGATATGTCATTGTGGTTGACCTGTTTCGCGAAAAATTTTCAATTTATTCGAGGTTAACCGTTGTTTTGGTTGTTTGTTGTTGGTTGCGACGAATGTGATTTTGGATTTGTGTCTTTGGTGCAGCGAACGAAGTCGAAATGAACTTCGATACGATTCGTTTGGAATCCAGGGTGAGTGCGATTCAGAAAGTTCATTCATAATTCGAATGATTTTTGTGGTTCTAACTTTCACTGTTTCAGGTTCTCGTCAAAGAGGCCCTGGCTACAAAGAATGTGGGTCCGCTGCTGGCCAAGCAGAAGCTGTACAATCGTCCCGATGCTGATGTCAAGACACCGTTCGATCAGGTCTTCAAAGATCTGCTGTTGGATTACATAGTGGACGAGACCAATATTGGGGTGCTCGAGGATCTGATCACGCTGAGCATAGAGTCCAGTCGCAAGGGCGTCACGAATCTGGCTCTACCAGTTAACTTGCTCGCAGATATCTTTGATTTGTTCACGTTGGATTCCTGCGAGAAGATGTTCTCTTATGTGGAACGTCACGTTAACGTGTTGAAGGAGGATCTCTTCTTCCAAGCCTGCAAGAACAATTTACTCAGAATGTGCAATGATCTGCTGAGGAGGTTGTCCAGATCGACGGCTACGATTTTCTGCGGACGAATCTTGCTTTTTCTAGCAAAATTCTTTCCCTTCTCTGAGCGTTCGGGTTTGAATGTCGTCAGCGAATTCAATTTGGACAACGTCACCGAGTACGGTGCAGAGAACATCGTCATGGTGACATCCAAGGATGAAAAGAAAAAGCCTGTTCTGATCGATTACAATTTGTACTGCAAGTTTTGGTCCTTGCAAGATTTCTTCAGGAATCCTACTCAGTGTTACAATAGGGTCCATTGGAAAGTGTTTTGCAACGTGAGTTTTCTTCTATCGAATATACAAGCAATTGGTTTCTAATTGAGATTTTCGTTTGCAGCAAGCGAGTTGCATCATAAGCACGTTTCAAGGGCTCAAATTGGAGCATCTGGAGAAGGCCGCTTCATACACCATCGAGGAGGATGGGAACAAGGAGAAGATTCCCTACTTCTCCAAGTACCTGACCAATCAGAAACTGCTGGATTTGCAGCTGTACGACGTCAACTTTAGGCGATTCGTGCTGATGCAGTTTCTAATTCTGTTCCAGTATTTGACGTCCACCGTTCGTTTTAAATCGTGAGTATTTTACTTAAGATCAAGTTGTAAGAGAACATTTCTTGATGTCAATGTTTGCAGGGAGACGTACGAATTGAAGCCCGACCAGAAGGAGGTCGTGCAGGATTATACGGATAAAATTTACCAGTTATTGAAGGAGACTCCTCCGGATGGTGAGAAGTTTGCGGAAATCGTGAAGAATATTTTGAATAGGGAGGAGCATTGGAATGCGTGGAAGAACGATGGTTGTCCAGGTTAGATAGAAATCTTACTGTTAAATATGAAATATTAAACTGTTTTTTTGCAGAGTTCAAGAAAGTTCTAAGTAATCCTGTAAGTGAGGTGTACGAGAAGCGCGAATCCAAAGTGCCACTCGGGGATATCCTGAAGGATGCTTACAGCAACGGCGTTCACTACATGGGAAAGTAAGTTTAAATTTGGCTCAAATTTTATACGGAAATTTAATTTTGTAATTTTTCGTTGCAGTACTGAATTGACGAAGCTGTGGAATTTGTACCCCAACAATTTGGATGCGTGCAAAGCTAAGGACAGGGACTTTTTGCCGACGCTGGACTCGTACTTTGCCGAAGCCATCGAGCAGCTGAACCGGAACGAACCGAGTCTTCTGCGTGACGGGAACTTCGGGTGGAGAGCGCTGAGGCTTATGGCCAGACGCAGTCCACATTTCTTCACGCTGAATCCAATCAGCGAGTTGCACAGTTACCTGGAGATGATGGTGCGCAAGTGAGTGTTTTGCAACGACGTATTCGAATAAAAATCTACTTGTATTTGTTTTATTTGTGTGTTACAGGATCGTCGCGGATAAACCGGGCGTGGTACAGGAGAACGAGCAGACGGTCGAGATCGAGACGAACGTCCTGCTGCAGCCGGACGAGTCCGCCGAAGACATGAAAGCTGTCGACGGCGACGACACCGACGAGAACTACATCCGATTCAAGTTCGCCATAGTTCGCATGACGCAGTTCCATTCGTTCTGCGAGAAGCTGTCGACGAATTGGAAGACGTTGGCGCTGAAGCTCGGCTACAAGCAGGACGAGATCCAGTTCATCGAGACGCAGAACACGGAGGCCGTCGATCAGGCTCGTAACCTGCTGCATCTCTGGTTCGAGGACGACGACGACTCGACGCTCGAGAACTTCCTGTACATACTGGAGGGGCTGCAGTTCGACGACGTCGCCGAGGAGGTGAGGATCGCCATCGAGCAGATGAAGTCCCTCAAGGATTTCTAATAGTAAGAGCTGTTCATCTTCACGATCGGCTGCAGGCTGCGCTGCTGCGCCAGCTCCTCGTACATATCTGCGAAAAGACACGAGACAAAACACGTTCGTTCGTTAGTCGATGCGGGCATTCGCAATGAAATCAAATCTTACGTTCGACGCCGTCGATTTCGTCGTGTTGCCTTACTGAAAACAAACAAACAAACACAATGTGAATTATTTTATTTTCTAGGTTTATTATATATATTGTAAAAAAAAACAATAGTTAAGTACACTCGACGATTTCTATATAACCTTTCCCAAATTATCCTGATTTATCAAGTAACTTATTGCGAGTAATTTTACTTGACAAACATCGTGTAAAACTCATCGTTTTTTTCTTTCATAAACACACTCAAGTTCAACCATTTGCCTAAAGTCAGTCTACACCAGTGGTTTCCAAACTTGATGTTACTACGCCTCCCTCAAAACTATGTAATCATTTGGCGCCTCCCCGCCCCCTTCCATTTCATAAAAGGAACGCGCATTACAGCAATATGGATAAGAGCACAGGAATGTATCTATACATGCTAGATTCCCCAAACATTCAGCTTTCATATGCATCTTTTGGATTCATTCTATCTATTATAGTTTTCGAGAAAATCAATGAAATGTAAAAAGACTACTTTTTCGAGCATTTTTTAAAATTTGAACACGAATTACAGCCAAACGGCTAACAGCACAGTAATATATCGATACATGCTAGATTCCCCAAACATTCAGCTTTCATATGCATCTTCTGGCTTCTTTCTATCTATTATAGTTTTCGAGAAAATCAATGAAATGTAAAAAGACTACATTTTCGAGCATTTTTTAAA